CACCTGAGCATCTTGCTGCTGGAGAACCAATGCTTCCTTATCTTCCTCCGCAGCCGACTCCACTACTGAAGAAAATTTGATCTCCGATAAAGCTAGCTCAGCTGGCTGCTCCGCCGTCTTACGCTTTCGCGAGACATTGGGCTGCGCTGTTCCACTGTCTCTCCCATCAGAAAAGCCATCTTCAATCTCCTCCAAGTCGTTATTGATTTTGCTGATGCTAAGTCTGGCTTGACTAGCAGCCGCTCTTTGGCTAATCCTCTTCGTGACTATGGGTTCTTCGACTGCCGTTTGGATGGGCTTGGCTTTTTGGTAGGTCTTTGTACTCTTTGACTTGCCTTTGCTGCTGGTCGATTTGCCCTTTGGTTTTGAACTACCAGGCTTTTTTCTTGTCCCCTGGTTACTTTGTCTGTCCGTCTTGGATTCTCTTCCGTCGTCGTTGATCTCAAGTAAATCATAAATATCTGTCTGGACTAGCGCAGATCCTTCATCGGATTTGTTCTTGTTTGCCGAAGTCGCCATTACTGTCTCTGGTACACTTGGCAGAGGGGCATCCATTTTAACGCTCTTCAGGCCCGCGATTGGTGTTTTGGGTTTAACAGCATACTTCTTTGACACTTTATTAGCTTTCAAATTGGCATTCTGATTTGGTGCTGCTTGAGAAGTACTTGGTTGTGCTTCTGGTATGAGTGCTTCTCTTCCGTCTTTTAGACTTGCAGACACTTTACCTTTAGTCTTGACAGTAAGGGTGACATCATCTGCAATCTTTTGGGTTAGTCTTCCGGTGATCGGTAGAGGTTGAGAGATTTGAGAGCGAGATTTGCCTTCCTGCCTCAAAAGAAGTGCCTGGCCACTTATTTTAGAACTTTCGTCGTCTATTCCTAAAGCTTCGTCGAATGATGCAATATTTTTTCGATGGGTAGGCATCGTAGGTGAATCGCTGAAGCTCATATCATCACCATGCTCAGGTAAATCGACTTTATTCGCTGCATAATTTCTGCTCGACTTTTGTTGGGACTGTTTCAATTTATCAATCACGTTCAAAGATATGTTATTATCTGCTTGATGTCGAGAACTTCCGGCTTGAATCTGACGATCGAGGTTGAAAAGGTTATCTAGCGCTTCGTCCTCGGATTCAGACGTTATTGGATCAGTTGTTGCTGGTTGATGCTCGTCTTCCGAGGGTCGCTCGTAACTTTCTGCATCTGGCGAACTTCCCTTTCCTTGAACTAGTATATCATCTTCAGCTTGAGAAACATGAATCCTCTCCGGTTGGAATTCTGCTTCGAGACATTCATTGTGAAGATCGATCATTAGTTCGTTCCTATTGGAATCTGTGGTCAAACGTAGCTGTTGAAGAGTGGTAGGCCGGGAGTTTAGATAAGAAGGACGCTCTTGGCAATTTTTGATGTCAAAAACAACATCGTAAACTTCTCTTTTGTTGATTATAATAGAGCTGTCAATGACAGAAACTCGGGAGATAGACTTGCATGGTACTTGTAGTATCTGATCCAATTCTTGTTCCGTAGAGCTTTTCAGCAGAAGAATATAGCCGTCCTCTAGAACCAGTTCTATACTCTCACCCAATGTTCCCAATCGAATTGGAGGTATTGTCACAACCCCAAGACTATAATAAAGCATGTGCGGTGGTCTGGAAAGTCATCAGCTGACAGAAATTGTCAATCTTCAATGTACTTACGTTTGGCTTTCATTATCGGGCCACTTCCGGTCTACCCACTGCTGGAATCGCGATTTCCACTCATTTAAATTCTGCAACTCAACTGGAAAATCCTCATATTCCCTTTTGTCAGTTTTCACAGGGCAGAGTTCTTCAGGCAGAACATTAGCGTTTAGTAGTGACGCAAAAACCCGGCCACAAATCAATCTGAGGATTTCATTGTCTTCATTGATAATCATGGGACCAATGCTGCGTCTTTGCAGAAATCATCAGCTAGGTAGTTTTGGATGGTAATATGGGGGGTTTCTCACCTGACGTCCTCGGGTGTATGTTGAAATTGCTCAGAAACTGCCTCTGGGCCTCTCAGAAGCTGCTGTATGATGATACCAGTCTTATATATGTGTTAGTATATTCCCATAATATTACAGCACATGGTAGCTTGCCCATCTTCTCATTCCGTCTGGCTTCGAACGATCGACAAAGTATTCAATAAGGTGAGCAACGTTCACTTGCTTCGCGATCTCGACCAAAATACTGTGGGAGCTCTCAATTTCCTGAGGTGTTGATTGCGTGTGAAGTTCCTTCTGCAAAACTCAGTCAGTATCCAAAAAAATCGCAGCCTTTGTGGTACGAGTACTTACGGCAAGCAAAACGAGAGCACGCTCACTTTCTCGACACTCCTCGCTTCTGAGTGCAATTTCAAGAATAACACAGAAAACTTTCACATCGAGAGGACAGCACAACTCGCCGCGATCATTCTCCAATATTGAAAGAAGACTTCTCACAGCTGTCTCAGTTATTGCTTCCGTTGCCTTCGCCGTGTGCAGGGTATCATAGATCGATTCCAGAGTGTCTTCAGCGATTCTGTTAGTTGTTAGCATGCTATAGATGTATCGATACTGAAGACCTATCTCACCCTCCCCTGCCCTTTGCCTTGACAGTTCTGTCGAGTTCCTGACACAACTTTTCAATGCCCTTTCCAAGTGCCGAGCCTTGCGAGGTCTCTTTCAGTCCGCGACTTGAAGGCATCTTGGAAACGATTAGCATTAATTTTGACTGGCAGACACTCTTGTTAGAGCTCGAGTCGCTTCACAACTGTGGGTAAAGCGTAAAGAAAAGGTTATCCGGAATATCGCGCGCGCACTGTTGACAAGCTACGAAATTTATTCGTATATTCTTGTAAAGTGGCCTGCAGTCGCAACCTGATAGAGTAGTGACATGGATAGCTGAAGAAACACAAATATTTGTGGATGGATATCCGGCTTTAGTGTCCCGATTATGCCAAATTGGCAGGCATGTAAAGATGGTTGTCAACAAAGAAGCCGCGGCAGATTCTCGAATCTCAAGAAGCCATGGAATATCTTACAGGCACTCAAGAGGTTCACTTTCAATAAAGAGTCAGTATACTGAACCAGAGAGTTTTTAGATACGAAACTTGTGATTTAATTGTTGGATGAATCAAAGAAGCTCTTGAAAAGGTTTAATCAAAGCGGCATCAAGGGGACTTTCGCTTCGAACAGTGAAGTGAATTAAGAGGATTCAAGAGCTTCCTCCTCAAAGGAACGTTATTAGGAGGGTATCCGAAGAACTTACCTCGAGAGTTTTAGGAAATTGAAAAGAATGTTGATAGAGTCGCAGTTTGTCGTATTGATAGAAAGAACAAGAGAAAGAGATAGGTAAACAGAGGGCATGAATTGTGAAATAAATTTCCCAGATGCTCTTTCGGTGAATGATTGCAGAAATTGGATAAGTTAGAGAAGGAAAGGCATTAGAGCGAATCACAGATGGGGAATCCCGCGCCGCTAAGCTTCTCGTCCGAATTTCAAAATGAGGAAGGAACTCACGGCCTTAGCACGTCGTCTCATCACGTGTATATAATCCGGATTTTGGTATCCGATTACTTTCGTTCATGCTTAGCTACGCGGAACAATGAGTGTGGCTTGGCTGAATTATGCAGAATAGACGCGGGCAAGCTAACAAGTCGAGTTAAAGTTGCGTGATTCCAGTGCATCGTTAGACCAGATGCCTTTCAATTACGAGAATTTACAGCCATTCTGGACTGAGATGTTATTACGTCGGATGGTATTCGACGTTACTCGACCCAATTTCACGTATCACATACACAGTGGCAGTTTCGTCGAGTCCAGACACGATCGCATAGTGATTAATGCAGTTCTGAACATTGAAGATCAAGATTACTATCCTGTTGATCTAGTACCGGATAATACTTTGAAGTTTGTGATCATTAACAACAAAATACTACCTACCCAAAATACGAAAGACGACGACAATATTTGATAGGGCCCAGGACCTGCGTAGGCATGGCTCTTAATCTCTCACCATTGGGCCAGATGGTTCTTGGTAAAGATCTAGAGATTTATAATCACCATCTCTATCACATCCTAGAAATAACGGCATGTAATTTATTCAGGTAAATCACAAATTCGTAACTTAACGATATGTTCTCTGGTCTTCCCAGTGGCTTCACTTGATCCTCTGAACACCTGCAGTTGACCTGTAGTTCGAACTTGCGTTTCTATCTTGATCTCCCAACTTGTATTGTTCATTGTATAGACCCTTTGAATTCATTCACAATCTCATCGTCCACCATGAGAGATGTGTTGTTTAGCTTCGTTGCCATTACTCTGTGTTTCCAGACAATCAGCACAACTTTCTAGGGGATATAATGATTGGGTAACAGCCAAACATCTGGGAGTCTTCCAACACAGCGCAGGTGCAAAGGAATTCTCTCAAGGCGAATGCTCTCGTTGACGTCGAGTTTTGACGTAGCATACGCCACTCAGTGTGCTCAATAGCTTGGACTAAAATTCAAATTCAACGTCTCAAGCTTGAATCTCTGATCGGTTTCAATCATTCTGATATTCTTATAGTTCTAAGCAGAACCAGTGACTAAAAGTAATTCAACATCCAAGAGGGCTTCTCTATTCACAATTCTCTCGTTGTGGACTGCAGCCTGGTTGTTGAATACACCGGTGCCACAATTGAGTGTATATATCGCCTGATTATGATACCTCAATAGCAGATCGATTTGTTCACCCTACGTTCAAGCAGAAGCTTTTGACGACCCCATTGCTGCTCTCATCCGCCATCGCGAATACCGGAATGGGAAAGCTATTCGTAAACAGTTTTGAGGCTTATCATGAACACCATTATTTCCACTTTCACACACAGATGAAATGGATCATCTCACAATGTGCTGCAAATTTAGGGTGATACACTGGATTTATGATTGACCGCCGGTCCCATCAATGCGCTGTGAGCGATATAGTAAGTGATGTTTGAGGGAAATGAATGCGTTGCTCGCTTAGTCAGCAAAGTGACTTGGTGAAGCTTTCGTCCACAGCCCTACTCGAAGTAAACCCCAAAGACCTGGACTTAACATCTGTCGTTCTGTGCACGCAGTTTCTGTATATTTTATCGACCAACGATGCACGTATTCGATCACTGGATACCTAGAGGTCATGCTGCGTTTTATCGCGGTACCACTTCCTGTCTGCTCGATTCGATCCTCAAACGGTTTTACAATGCATCGAGATGAGTCGATGGCTACAGATTCAACCCCCTTTTCTCACCGGCCTCACCGACTTCACCAAATCATTCAGCATCGCCAAAGTACATCTCCATACATCTTATACCTCATGTGCCCCTCTCCGACATGATTAATATACACTGGTGGGGTGAAGTGGGGTGATGAACACAGTCGTGGTATCCTACCAGCGATTAGCACATATCTATGTTAAGGCATAAGATTTGTTGAACCATTTGCGTAGGTAACTCAGTATTGATGCGCTGTTGTTGTGAACTTTAAACTGCGGGTTGTCACTGTGTACTCTGGAGCAATCATTGCTGAGATGGTTTGAGATTGCTACTGACCCAGATTGACAGCTCAAGTGAGCATTCTTTACAGAGTGTGAGGCATGTTACACTAGACCATCCATCATGGAATTACGTGGCTTGACTGTGCCACTTCCTCGAGTAATGTAAGGTATTCTAAGGATCGATAGCATAAGCTATTTTTGCGCTCTTTCTGCTATAGGTGCACACGCACATACGTCAAAATTACCCCTGAGTGATGCAACACTACTTGAGTCTTGAAGATATACCTTCGTTCAGTCAGTCATTTACGCTAATAGTTTCTGAGAGCTTCCATGATCTCACTAAGTCCTTCTTAATCTTCCTCGAAACTGGTTGGCTATCCAGGTACAACCACTTTGCGACCAGGGTAGCTACAAGCTAGTGTGGGTCCATCCGTCGTATTCCATCATTATGACTTAGAATTCTGTAATGCATATCACTCATAGCCACCAAATCCGCCGCAGTGGTGACATTTCGAAACCCCTACCCCACAGCAAGTGGGTCATAGCGGGTCATGCTACATACGGTGAAGCTTCTGATCCAATGTTTGTAGAAAACGTGTGAGCCAAGGAGGTGCCAAGCCATTGAAATGCCACCTTATGTGTGAAATTCACTTAGGAAATCAGCGGGGGTTTCCATAAATGAGTCGATGAGTGGCTGATGATGGTTATGCATTGCCGCAAACATGCACGGAGGGGTAGACCCTGAGGCGTTACCATAATCGAAGATCGGACTACAAAAGACACATATATCTACTCCTCTCCTCCCGTTCACTTCTCATTCCATATATCTCATCTCTCAATCACTTTTCAAATACTCTTCACAACACAAAAACAAACCTCTTCTATATAAATCAAAATGTCTTTCCACCTCTCCGCCGAAGATATCCGCATTGATGACAACCACATCCTCAGAGCCCGTCTCAGAAACGAGAACGGTGACTGGGAAGATGCTGAGATTGATCTCAACCAACACATTGGAAACCAAAATGGCATGATTCACTGGGATGGCGAGAGTACGTATAATCTTTGAAAAGCATCTTTGTCCTTCAATCGCCATTGTCTAATACTTCGTATAGACTTCTCCCACAGCGCTGAAAACGTCACATTCTCCATCGAGGGTGGTGGACAAGTCCCAGTTCTCCGCACTTTCCTCCGCAGCATCGACGGCGAAGAGTTCAGCCGTGATGTCAACCTTGCTGAGCGTATTGAGAACCACAACGGACGATTTGTTTATGGTATGTATCCTCTAGCCATTGGAGCTTACGAAAGACTTTTGCTAACATATGATCAGTTTAAATGTTATATGCTTTAGCTAGTGCAGTCTAAAGAATGAGAATATCCTTTCAAGCGTTACAAATATTCGTTTTGGTGCATTTCAAAATTGACAGCATGATTGAAATTCTTTCCTATGCCTTCGTGTATCGATTCATCTTGGCTCGTTCTATGTGATTCTACGCGTCTTGATTATCCAATCTTACAACTCATGTTACCAAGTTTCAACTGCTTCCGTTACTAGTTATGTTCCTGCAAGCCGGCTGATACGTTGGCAACACATCCTTCTTTCTTCCACACATTGCAAGTGCTTCACAGTATCAAACTTATTCGTCACTAAAATCTCGGCCATAACCTATTAAACAACAAATATGACGCGATATAAGCGCTATCATTCTTAAGCAGTTTCTACATAATGTTTTGGTTATCGTTGACATTAGCTTGGCAATTTGAATAACTCTGCTCGAATAAACTTCACGCCAATTATATTTCCCTCTCAGTACTTTCTCGCCCTCCATCTCTCCCGAGAATAACCGTTTTACATAACCACAATACATCAAACCTTTTTCACTTACGCAACAGAAGTTTGGGCAGTACCTTCTTAGCCCCTCTCCTGTGAACTAAACAATCGTGCGTAAGACGGATAATCCGGCACATTCTTCAGCCTGGATTCATATGCAGGGTAATGCCAAGACGCATGGCACAGCTTGGGTTGCATGCCATGATCTTATGTGATTATCTTACTCTTGGAGTTTGAGTTGAACCAAAGTTGGGCAAATGGTAGTAAGAGTTGAGAGGGTAGAGCGGTTGTATTCAGGAATTGAATGAGTGGTGTGCGGGATGCTGATGCTTGGGGTATGTAGCACGTATTTTCTGCCCAGCCATGACACAAGAGTTGTCAGTCACTTGATGGTTGAATAATACATCGGATATTTGGCCACACATTGAGTCCCTTTTCTGGGAATTCCGGTCTCTACCAAGATTTTCCTCACGAGACTTTTCGCCAAGAATTGCCGAGCCTAGTAGCTCTTGGGCTTCTTGTATGAAGATCGAGGGGTAGCCTTCTCATTCTACTTCTCAAATCCTGTCATTGAAAATGTCACATTAACTGTATCTCAAACATGTTGAATTCTGCACACGAAAGTTGGAGAGCCATACTCGTCTTTCTAATTTCCTTGGCAGCTGTGCAAACGAGCCATATCTTTGCATGTGAGCCTTCATCATACTCCCAAGAAATCACTGAGATAGAAACACACCACTGATCCGCGGATAGAAGGCTTGGTATCTATCCAGAGACTTTCCTATTTTATAACCTTCTTACCTTCGCTCTCTGGTTCCGACGAGAACGATTCATAAACAAAGAGACGATAATATTCCAATAACTTGGATAAAGCTCTTTGTAGCTGGTATTGCGTATTTTAATGAAGTTAGGATATCTATCAAATGAGGATGTTCAAGATTTTAAGCTAACATCCAATGGCTTACTTGGATTGTTGGAATATTACTTTTGACAACAAAATGGTCATATTTGTACGAAGCTGCATTGGTCAGCCTCGCTTCTTTGTTTCTTGGCATGACCGGAGGTTGCTTCATGAAATGATTTTGTAGTCTATGATAGGAGGTTGTAGTGATGAAGTCTATGCCGTTCAAATGGTCATGGCTAGAGATGAATTTGTTACAGATTTCCCTTTTTTTCCGATGAAGTGCAAATAGACACAAAGCATTAAATCTAAATCTAGACCAATGAAATTGGACAAGAAAAATCTCACCAAACATCCTTCCCCCAGAATATGATGTTGAAAGATGATGTTGTCCGCCAGGTCTATCTGTCACCACAATCACTTGCATTTCACAGCACTAAGCTGAGACTTCTTGTTCAGTATGCAAGATACTTTTCATATTCTCCATGAAACTCATTTTCACCTCTCCACAACTCTCATCCAGAGTTTAATGCGAACTCAGCTCCCTAGACAAGCTGCCTTCCACACAGCATCGATATTATTACTCCCGAACCCCTTCATCAAACCTGTCGCTCAACGAGTTACCACATTCGACCAATCGAGCCGTCGTTAAAAAGAACATAGCCTACAACTTTAACCCTTTGAATGAAGAGCCTTTCCATCCAAGCCTTCTTCAACCACGTTCTCTTTTTGCGGCATCACACCCTCAATCACTCATCCCGGATTCGAAATATCAATGCCATCTAGCGTAACAACGCATACCCATCCCCAGGCACAGCTCATCACCTGGAAACCACAACATACAGAACAAGCAGTAACGACTCCTTATAAGTGTCGCGATAATCATTTGAAAGGATATTCAAATCGGCCAATTAAAAGATGAATCAAGTTGCGGGGAAGGATGTTCTATCGCTTACAGCTCAACCCATTCAGCAGGTGTAATGATTGTCTAGACCTGGGACACCAACTCTATCCTCGATACACTTGTACTTGTGTAAATACCCAACATCTAGATCGATTCCGCGAGGATAGTCGTGCTAGACTGTTCACGTAGCGGGAAAAGGGCCTTGATCCATAGTCTTTACACGTATTGCGTTCATGATACCCATTCCAACAACCGAGTTCTGGGGAGACAGCAGTTGACGAATTCCACATAACGTAGGAAATAGTACGCACCGACGCAGCCTCTTTAATCCCCGGTCAAAATGTCTGGTTTGGTACTTCACCCAATCTATGGATTCGCGAATTCCTATCCTTCTGATTATTGATTTTTGGCTAGACGATATCTCCTCTTCGCGTGCTTTGTTAGCGACCGAGAACACGAATATTATACAATTGAGTTGCCTATCCTTGTATAGTATTGTGCTACGATGGCGGCGAAATATATGTATACACCAAGCCCGTGGATATGCATGAAAATCGAATTCTGAGAATCGAGACTGGGAAGATCGGGATTTTCACACTGCAGAATCGGAATTACTCAGGTTCGTTTAGCAAGAGTTAGTGGGCTCTTTGGGAAAGAAGATGGCGATTTCAAGTGGAGGGGCAAGTGGAAAACCACGCAAATTGAGTCTTTTGACAGGACCAGTATACTGGCATAAAACAGACGCTTCCTTGAGCGTTAATTTTTTGCAATTTACATAGTAGTGAATAGAAAATAATTAAAACATATTGAAGAAAAGCTACCTTGAGCCTAAAGTCTGTGGGAAATGTTGCGCAGACGAAGGTATCTACCCTTATACTCACTCCTACTCATTAGTAGACATAAAACACATAATTTTCAAGAACTACCAACCCCAAAGAGCTATTCCGATCCCCCAAACAATCCAATAGCAAATCGAATTCATAGATCCAATAATCCCCCCAGACCATTCAACCCCCAGACCATCCAACCCCAAGAATCCATTTCGCCATCTTCAGCAACAGGATAACTAACTAGCACAAGGAGAACTCCCATCCATGACTCAACAACTAACGATCACAAGATGAATGAATCACCATCAAACACCCACTAGTGACTTCGAGAAAATCAATCTTACAATACAAGCTCGTAAAAGAAGAATTGAAAAATTGTATCAATACCACATGAGTACTGCCAGATCAAGGGTTATGATATGTAGATGTTTGTAAGAGTGTGAGGGATTTAGATTCGATATATATATATATATCTTTGATATTTGCATACGTAAAGGTGACATAGTTTTCTTCCGAATCGATTCTACTTGTATGTCTATACCGGGGGTAGCCTTACCTACACGCAGAAAATCAAAATCAAAGGAGTGATAACACAAATAACAACTTAAACACTGCGTTCAGAGTAACAAACATACAACTCCACTGTAACAAGTACATCATTGATTCATATCGTATCTATTCACATAACCCATACGACCAAGCCTCATGATTGTACACATAATACATATTTAAAACTTTATTCATTCATGCCCAATAAATAAACATCTAAATTCTCATCCTCAGCGCGCCCCTCTCCAACTCACCGACCATTCCATTTCCAGCCAGCGCCCATTTCTCCGTCACAGTCTTCTCATCCACTCTCTGTCTCAACACTCCACTCTGGGCCCAATATTCCATCAAACTTCTCGCTTCTCGCTTACTCAATCCATTTAACCACATGACCTGTACCTTTTGCAATGCTTTATCGGCTCTCTCATCGTACTTCTTCTCATAGGGATCACGTTCTGTGATTTCTTCTTCCGATTGTCGATTGAGTTGTTGCACGATCGCTAGATCTGTGGATCTAGATACTGGTGCGTGGCTACGTGATGTAGCTGCAATTACTGCACCTCCATTTGGGAGAGACTTCTCTCCAGAGAGATATTGCACGAAATGGTTTACAACAGCCAAATCGTGGGCATGGATCAATTCGAATGCAGCGTTTCGGTAAAGACTGTCTTGCATGATCCATTGAAGACCGTCTAATGTCATGAGAACTGGAGGTCGGTCTGCAGCTGTAATTTCTTTCCAGAATGCTTGGAATATTGGCCAAGAGTGATCTGGTTCCTGAGCTCCAAGTTCGCAAAGTCTGAGGAGGGATAAGTTTTCTTGAAGAGGAATTGGAAGACTATGCTTTTGTGACAATTGGAGCTTGTCAAGAACTGCTTCGTTGGCTTTGCCAATACGTCCTAGCCATGCCGCGGTATATGTGTTTTGGGAAAAGAGAGTGGGCGTGGTATCGGGCACAGGAGAATATTCAGTGCAAGCGTTGACAAGTTCTTGGGCTATAAATCTCATTAGCATAATGCAATCCACGAACAATAAATAACATACTATCCGCAATATTCAAGACAATCCAGCCCTTAACAAAAGCCGAAGCCATAGCGTGTAAAAGCATCAAACTCTTCCCTGATACCCTCCCTCCATCAACAATCAATCGCTCCGTCTTTTTCTCTGCCCCCGCCTCTTCTAAAACCTTCGCACAAATAACACTTTCCTCCCGGACCAAGACCGCTGGCCTCCTAAATAAATTCCATCCCTGCGTAATCTTAAACGCTTCACTTGCTCTTAAGCTATCCACCGTGCTCCCACTCAGTCCCACCACCTTTCCTGCCAATCCCTCACTCGAAACATTGCTCATTCCCAAATCTTCCAGTTCTACTTCCAACGCATTCGTATTACTGAGTACGATTCTCTTCCTCAACGCCTTTCTCTCTCCTTCCGCGGGAGGTTTTCCAGACCGTACAGGCGGCGGCTTCTTCTTAATCTTCAAAGTCTTTCCACCCCTCGCCATATTTTGTCCAAACGCTCCCTTTGGTTTAGCAGCCAGCGGATTCTTGGACATGACCGCACTTGTGGAAAATCCCGCCGTGGCTGCAATTGTTGGAAGTCGCGATGCCGCATGATTGCCCTGGATGAATTGCGAAGTATTCGGCCTCGAGAGGCATTTCCAACATCCCGAGGATGCCATATCTGCGATTGCTGCAGTGAGTTTCAAAGGGTCCAATTCCTCTCGACGTGTCGTCCCTCTCTCTCGCTCCAGAAATCTTTCTCGACTAGGATCAAACACATCCCGCGCTAAATTGCGGCCGCACAAGGATCCTCCCGCAAAAGCAGCAGTCCAAAATTTATTTTATTTCCTCTATCTCAATCTCAATTTCTCCTCCTCTATGAAAAATAAACCCAATCTTCACCCATTCAATTAGTTTATCAACCTCACATCCAACATGTCCGAAGACGCCCCCCAGAAACTATCCAAACTCCCCATCACAGTGAACAAACCCACTCCCTACACATTCGATCTTGGTCTCCTCCTCGCCGAAGACCCCAATCCGCTTCTCCTCACCACCTCCGCAAATCTCGAAGATGATCTAGCTGCAACTGCCAGAGATGGTGCGCAAGCATTATTGAACCAATTGTTGAGCACCTGTCCCATTGCATCGACGCCCAACGGTGTACTATTGAGCTTACCTGGAATTGCTACCAAGTTGCCTCGTGAAAAGGTAATTATGCGATTTTAATTTTTTCTTTCTTTTTGCATTCTCGCGATTTGAAGATTACAATTTGGTGTCCCAATCAATAGTTGATACATACTAACACATCTCCAGCCTCTTCCTCCTCCAGTCGCCCAAACTACCTGGCAAAAGTTCGCAGCTAAAAAGGGTATCAAACCCAAGACTGCTGAGGCCAAGAAAAAGCTTGTATATGATGAATCTACCGGCGAATGGGTTCCCAAATGGGGATATAAGGGAATCAACAAGAAGGGAGAAGATGACTGGATTGTGGAGGTTAATGAGAATAAAGAGCGCGAGAGAAAGGAGGGAACTGAAAGACAAAATGATGGAAGACGGGAAAGAAAAGAAAAGGTTAGGAGGAATGAGAGAATGCAAAGGAAGAACGAGAGGAGCGATAGAAAGAATCACGGAGGAAAGAGGGATTAAACTGTTGGGATTCGAGTGTCAGCCCATATATGACGAGGGGAAGTACGAGGAAAGTTGGATGATTTCATGGTGGGTGGACTTCATTGTATGGCGTTGGAATGGATTATCATTGGCGTTATTAGGGCAATCATTGCTTGTGGAAAGGAAAAAGTGTTACACCTTACGTCGGAAGACATTAGATCACAAGAACACCCAATTGAGAAATTCAAGAGTTATAATAGTATATAGCAATGGTATTGAACAATTCAAATTCATCAGAGAAAACATAAATGGCAAGACACGCAAGGAATAGCAAAAGAAGATTGCGAATGCAGAATTGGTTCTTCCTTTCTCCCACATCTACCCCCGGTCTACTACCGGTCTCAAAGCACTCTCGAGTGTTGAACATTAACTACATCAGTTCACATCACATCGATAATATCAAAGTAAGAAGATTGAAAGTCAAAATGGTACATGGCATTAGTTTCAAATCCATGTCCATGATCTCTGATGCTCTTCACACTGTCCCCCAATGCGCTCGTTGACCCTAGCTAGGTAATCTATGGTCTCTAGACTCCTTTGCTCCAAACATAACATATTTCCCTATCGTACAAACAAGTCCTGCTTTCCTCTCCCTCATCCTCATCTCCCATGTGCCTGATAGCGAGCCGGTCTCGAGGACCTGAAGCAATTCGCGCCTCCTGATTCATCTCGAAACTTGTTAACAATTCATTCCAGCCTCCATCCGTCCGTCCATCTCCATCACGCCCCACGCTTATAATCCCTCAAAAAATCAAAGTAACAATCCACTCCATATACCACCAATCCATTTCCAAATCCCATACCCCATCCATCCATCCATCCATTATTAAACCCGCCTTCTGTGCTAATATGCTTTGTGCCGTCAAGATTCAAACATGCTGCGCTGGGGGTATTCAACAAAACAAGCACGCATGAAGATTTTGTAAAAAAAACCATTCCATTCAATTGAAATGGGAAAAAAGGAAATACTTGTGTTGCATGAACGAACAAAACGAACGTCAAGAAATGTGTGTAGAATAGATCTCATCGGTATTTTGTGCGTGATACTGAAGGAAATTCGTCGAATGCGTTCAGTCCATTCCATTTACCAAAGTTCGTAAGCAATGAAAAAATCGACCGAGGAAAATGTAATTTTGTCGTCGCTGTATGTTTAGTTCGTACGAGTTTGTGAGAAACTTGTATCGCCCTAATATGTAGAGGTAGAATTATGATGATTTGCGACCTTTTGGTGTGACTTTTCAAAAGCCCGTTAGTTAAATTCTCTAGTTTTGTGATTTTGAGCAAAAGAATCTCAAAAGCCAATAGGAGAGAGTGGTTTGATAGGACTCAATGGTCTCATATCCCCATTTCGAGGCGGCGTCGCCTGTATAACAGTCAAAGTTGTACTGACAGTATCGATACTGTTCATGCTATTGCTCTGAATCATGGCACCCTCCCTGTGATTCTCCACTTGAATCTGTCTTTGACTTCTCTCGCTATCCGGGCTTCTGCGTTGGTTTTTTTCGCCGCTGGCTTTTCGTCCCTTCTCATGGCTATGTTTTCGGCCCTGATTCTCGAGGCTGACACTCGATGGTTTGCTGCTGTCAGAACTGCTAACATTCCTTTCATCATGACTCTCAACAGCAGTGCTACTTCGTCCACCAGCACTTCCGGGTGGCATCTGATCAAAAGCATATACTCTTGTTCAATATATACTGCTTCCGTCTTACAGCCCTTCCAACAATCTCTCCAATCACAAACAAGGAATTTGAAACAGAATGCATCCATCTTCATACAAGGCTGAAAGCATATACATAGATTCCTAAAGTCCATTTTGTTTTTTTCGGAGTGGGCGAGTAGTAGAGATAGATGGCAAGTGATGGCGAAGAGGAGGTAGTAATTGAAGGGAGAAAGGTTAGATAATTCTTCGACAAGTTGTTGTGGAACCTCATCAGAGCCCGCACATTCTCTAGCAATTCGATCTTGTGCAGCTCTGGGAAGCAGTTCGTCGGGGAGTTCGCGAAGCCACGCTTTAAGCATCGAGCCAATGATGTTTATATCGTAGAGGTCATCACATTCGAAGAGATCGATATCAAGCTCTAGCGGTATGTTAGTATATTCCCAGGAACCATCAAAGAAAGAATCTGCAAACCTTCATCGAATCTCCTCTGCCACTTTTTAACCTGCGGTCCACTTCCAGGTACTCTGTAAAGTCCCTCCACATCACTTCCCTTGTAGTTCAAATAGTCAATCGCTCTCCAAGGGAAAGATGGCATCCAAAATTCCGTTTTGTCCCTTGAATCCTCCAATCTCTTTGATATTCTGGTGAGTCGAGTTTGCTCGACGAGTGGCTTATTGATGACCTTTAAAACATAATGCTCATCATCGACTGAGGGTTCCTTATGTGTAGAGCTACCACTTCGTCCTCCCTTTCCGAACAGATTCTTGTGTATTGCTCCAGCTCCCTTTGTTGCTTGTGATTTGATGTTGTTGAAGAATGCATGTCCGCCGGCCTCTTTGAATGTCGTAGAGAAGGATGATTGATTTCTGCTATTATCCTTGGTGTGATCCTTCGTATGTTCTCTCATGGAATCCTTTCCACGATTTTCTCTCGAGCGGCTATGTTGACGGTCTTCCGATCGTTGTCGATGATTAGTTGGAGTCGACATCTCCCTACAATTTCTATCGTCGTCGCTTCGAGCCGGTGTTGTAGTCTTCACGGAACTTGAAGAACTTGTGTGTGTGTATTGATGGGTAGATAAATCGGGATCCAAATAATTATTTTTTGGCGGAGAGGGCTCAGCGGGGCTATTATCATCTCGTAATGATCTAGTTCTACCGAGGAGACTGAATTGCTTCGGTTTATTCTTTCGATTATTGATTGAATTGGAATCGGAATTTTGTTGTGGGGAGTCGTTCGTTGATGATGCCAGCGAGGCGTCAGATCTTGACTGAACCCCGACCGGTTTTCTAACTAATGAAGATCCAGCAGGACCTGATTCTATTTTGAAAAGGATTAGTTTATGTGAATCACTTAGCATGGGTTAATTACCCAACAACATTATTGTCTGAAGAGGAAGGGACGAAACAGGATGGGTCGTACCACTTCTTTTAGTGTCCTGTGATGAAACCTTTCCGCTCATCGCAGGGCGGTCTGTGTCTCTGGACATATTATTGTCCTCGACAACATTCACTTGGCGTGATATATTTGAAGAAGATGATGATTGAAGTTTACTTGCACTTTTGATGCTTTATAATTTGAAAAGAATCCGGTTCGCGAAGGTTTTTCCTTAATACCGACGCCCTTATCTGGAGTCCGTGGAGAGGAGGAAGATTGAAATGAAGAAAGAGAAGGAAGAGTTTGTGATGTTGGTATTCCACTTCCAGTTCCAGTTCCACTTCCACTTCCACTGCCAATGGTAATTGATGAATCTTTTTTGGACGTCTGCGAATAGACTTCTTGCATAGAAGAAGTTTCGTCTCTTTGATATTGTCCCTGTTCTTGGAGTTGGAGGTGGAGTTGTTGATCTTGTTCTTGTTGTTGGAGTTGAAGTTGTTGTTCTTGTTCTTGAGCTTGACTTCGAGTCTGTTGTTGTGATTGTGATTTCTTTGTGTTGAATTTGAAGGGAGACCTCGGTGATCTTGGGGATTTGGCACTCAAAGGAGATCTTGGACTTTGTTGAATGTTAATAAATTCCGTACCATTAACATTAACTCTTCCTCCTGTACCGGGTTCCAGCGTCAGCGGCTGTAGGCCATTTTTTCGTGCCATTTTCCCCCTGTTATCCGCCGATGACCTCTTTTCAGGGCCCAATAAACCCAGGGTTCTGATAGATTATCTCGTGTGCACCCTACACACTGCACAGCCTTCAGGTACCCGTCAATATCTTGATCACAAATCCTAAATAAATATATAAATATACTTCGTGCTTCGAACACTTTCCGTTCTATCGCGCGGGTGGTTCGTGCGGATGAAATTGGCACCAAACTGCTCTTCCGGGTCTGCTCAGTGCTGCGTAATAACTGTTTT